TGTTTCCTGTACCTACCTTACATGACATTGTTTCCTGTACCTACCTTACATGACATTGTTTCCTGTACCTACCTTACATGACATTGTTTCCTGTACCTACCTTACATGACATTGTTTCCTGTACCTACCTTGCATGACATAGCTGCGTGCCCTAGAAGTTTTTATGTCAATTTTAAGTAAGCCTTTTTAAAAAAGTGAAGAATCTGTTCCCAAACTTGGAAAAATATTAGATTTGTTTACCTCTCTGTCTACTGGACATCTGTTATATTCGTTTGGCCTGGTTACAATACACATTACAGATATTTACTTTTATCTGATTTCAGTGACGTGTGTAATAATGCAGAAAAACGGCGCTGGTTTACACACAGCAAGCTCTTGTTTTTGGGACAACACAACAGATGGTAAGCACATGATTCAGATGCATTGTTTACGATTTAGGTTTTTGGGACAACAGATGGTAAGCACATGATTCAGATGGATGATTTACGATTTAGGTTTTTGGAATCGTAGATGATCTGGATAGGGTCAATGGTCATGTCCCCTGTAAACCTAATCTTTCACCAAAGTCAACAGAGCTAGGATCCACAGTGGTACTACACATTTTCCATGTCGTTACTCATTAATGAAAAATTACAAGTTTTTAAGTTAGTCTCATTTGACTGGGGTTTATAACTAAATTTCCATTGAGTGATTGCTATTATTGATTACTCATAATCAGTGATCATGTGTTTTGTTACTCCAAACATGTAAAATGTTATATGCTAGGTGATTTGGACACGTCAACATTATCAAAACAGTGATGAAACGAGCAATGGATGTGGCAGAAACACATTGTTATTACGTTAATTTTTTGTAGTCGTCCAAAACATTGTAAAGACTGGTATTACATGTTTTGTTTAACTGTTGTTTGTTTTTTGGTTTTAGGGAGCTGTACGGTGAGATGGGAAAACAAGACCATGTACTGTATTGTCAGTGTGTTTGGACTCGCCATATAGTGAACCTCGCTGGTTGATGTAACATCTTATATTGTTGTTTTAAAGACGATTGACAAATTAACAGATATGACGAGAGTGATCAGAGTTACGTGTATACAGAGCTGCAAATCCTTCACATATTTAATACAGTGTACACCATCAAGATCTCTTCTGACAAGACAATGATCACCGAGTCATTTAAAACTTTTTAAAAAGTATTACATACTGGTAACTACGTATGTCAGGATGACGACAATTTCACGTGTCAGACACCAACCCAGACCGACTTGCACTGCAGCTTCTTTTCTTTGGAATCTTCAGTTTAAGTTCATTAAATGGGGTAAATGTTTCTCAACATAATTGGAAGTTATGATTTAGTATTTTAAGGAGGTAACATTTGAAACGTGATGTAAGGTAATCGGTTACCCGATGTTGAAATATAAGGCTATATGGTACGGAACAAAGGAAGGATTCATTTTGTCCAGTTTTGTGAATTAATTGTTTTTCTCTGGTATGTCTTGTACATATAGATGTTTCAAGTGTAAACACGGTCATTCCAGCTTCCACCATATTATACAATGTTACAGAGTCATAGTTATTGTTAGGACAAAGATTTTTTCACAAAAGTAAAACTGGTTCATGTGTGTAAAAATACTAAAATGTAGAACTGGTTGATAAATATGATTAAAAATATAAATATCAGTTGCTTCATTTTTGTTTGTCTAACAGTGAAAGCCAAAAAATATTTAATTACCTTTTCTCTTTAATAGATAAAAGTTCATACTTCAGTTGTACATCTCCAATTTTCTGTGATATATATCAGTTGGTATTTCCCTTATAATTTCCCACACATGAACTATCATATAACAGGCCTCTCTCTAGCTAGCCTTATAGGATAGGAGAAGTTAGCCAAGGAAATATTTTCTCTTCAGGCTTCTTGACAATTTAAGTAGTGACAATTCTGAAATCTTCATTTCCTATTGTTTAAAATCATTAAATGAATCAGATTCCATGTAACCCATTGACTGTGCATTCTATTGCTGCTTATTTAAATGATATTGTATATAAACATCACTGTATAGTCATACTGAGTGTGTAATAAAAGATATTATAGTTACAGCAGTATTCATATTTATTGCCAAGGATTTTTGTTTAATCAAGTAAACAAAAAACTTGAAATTATTCCATTCAGGTTTTTTTGAAATTCATGTCGGCTATTATTTAAAATGAGTTTCCTTTTCCTAGGAGATTTAAGAAATGGGTCTTATTCATATTCTTTGGTAAGCTGTTATAAATCATTTTAGAAATATCTTCGGATACTCAAAACCAAATATTTAGGCCATACTGTAGACATATCTATATGTCTTTATCAAGCTATCATGGTTGGAAACTGTGATACAATATTGTACACAAGTGGAAAATGTACCAGCATCTGTTTATTTATTGACTTTGTCCTAATAAATTGTGTTCAAATACATTTTATAACTGTTGTAAGTTCTTCACTGATCCAGTCTGATATGTACACTGTCGGTGTTTTTATTTACCTGTGAATTGAAGAAATATGGTCCAAGGCACTTTTTAGCTAGGGGAAACAGCCTATATTCTGCTGTAAAACTGAACAAATCACTGACTGTTTACAATAAACATTAAGGTATTTACATGTAATACACTTACCCTAAATACCATTTTATAGATACAAGCTTTCACATGTGTACTTGAGTCATTGATACAAGCTTAAACGTGAAAACTACTGGAGTTATGATACAAGCTTAAACGTGAAAACTACTCGAGTCATTGATACAAGCTTAAACGTTAAAACTACTGGAGTCATGATACAAGCTTAAACGTGAAAACTACTGGAGTCATTGATTCAAGCTTAAACGTGAAAACTACTGGAGTCATGATACAAGCTTAAACGTGAAAACTAATGGAGTCATGATACAAGCTATAATGTGTAAACTTGAGTCATCGCTACAAGATTTAACAGGTTAACTTGAGTCATTGACACAAGCTTCAGTATGTAAACTTGAGTCATAATACAAGATTTAACAGGTGAATTTGAGTCATGATACAAGATTTAACACATAAACTTGAGTCATTGATACAAGCTTCAGTATGTAAACTTGAGTCATGATACAAGATTTAACAGGTTAACTTGAGTCATGATACAATATTTAACACATAAACTTGAGTCATGATACAAGCTTCAGTATGTAAAATTGAGTCATTGTTACAAGCTTCAGTATGTAAACTTGAGTCATGATACAAGATTTAACACATAAACTTGAGTCATGATACAATATTTAACACATAAACTTGAATCATTGTTACAAGCTTCAGTATGTAAACTTGAGTCATTGTTACAAGATTTAACACATAAACTTGAGTCATGATACAAGATTTAACACATAAACTTGAGTCATTGATACAAGATTTAACACATAAACTTGAGTCATTGATACAAGATTTAACACATAAACTTGAGTCATGATACAAGCTTCAGTATGTAAATTTGAGTCATGATACAAGATTTAACACATAAACTTGAGTCATTGATACAAGCTTCAGTATGTAAACTTGAGTCATGATACAAGATTTAACACATAAACTTGAGTCATGATACAAGATTTAACACATAAACTTGAGTCATGATACAAGCTTCAGTATGTAAACTTGAGTCATTGTTACAATGGGTTTGAGAGATTTCTTACACAAAAGCTTGCTACTTCAAAACAAGTAACCTTGACCAATGACCACCAAACTGTAATCATGTGTAGATCTTGATATCACCTTTTTATGGTGTAAATATTGACCTTTTCACTAGATGGACACACAGATACACTGACAAAGTGACTCCCATAGTCCACTACCTACTGTAATTAAAGGGGAACCATATTTATGATATAAAAATAAAGGATAAAAAGTATACAGATTATATGTACTGCTTGGATTATGGACAGATTGGATGGACAGATTCACACTGACCAGAGGTTGACCATATTGGATGGACAGATTCACACTGACCAAAGGTTGACCATATTGGATGAAGCAGTAATTAGAAGTCTTAAGGTTTGATGGTAAACATAATTTAATAAGTATTTACATCAGCAATCATTTCCATGATGAAAAATTCTGATTTGACAGCAAAGTATTAAGTGAATAGGTTGGCACATATGTCTAAAATGGTTTAAGGTGACAGACATGAGTAACATCACTGATCGGGTTTAAGGTGACGGACACGAGTAACATCACTGATCGGTTTCCTGGTCAGTATTAGTCTGGCAGTATTTGACAGGAGCACTAGAGAAGACACTCTGGTTGGAAGCGAGGCCAGGTACGACAGTATCACAGTTAGATTGTTGGTTTGTATCATCAGATGTTGTGTGCTCCTGCTTTACTTCATCAACAGGTTCAGAGCGACAGTCGTAAGCCTGGAGGATGGTCTCATTTCTGATCAGACGAGTGTCCACAATGCTAGACTTGGGTACGGGCACTCGAGTGGTTTCATTGGTATTCAGTATAACAGGGACAGATGCTGTACCAGCACTGTGCTGACTGTAACTGTAGTCGGTGTGCTGTACAGATGGCGGCGAGACAATATATGATCCATCCGTTTGCTGATGACTCTCAATTCCCGTACCAGCTGGCTCAGGGTAAGTTCCTTGTACAGGACTCACTATACTGAAGGCAGTGGGCGGGGGTACATTCATGTTTGGTTGTCCATAGACATCAAAATGTGCCATTGGATTATAATGAAACGCCCCAGAAATGTTCCTAGTTTCAGCAGACAACACTTTTCCAGTGTCCTGAATTGTGTCTGAATTCCAGGAATTAATTTTGGTGGTGGCTGTCGCATTTTTTGCCTCCGTTACGCAGCTTTTGGTTTGGCTGGGTAAGGGGATGTCGCCTACCTGCAAACTTTCTGTAGGAACATCATCAATCTTCTGGCCCCTTGTAACCTCTTTTCGTTCCCTTTTCAGGAACTCTTCAATATCTCTAGTCTCTGTGCGAGGGTTCAACTGTTTATATGACCACTGATTTCCCTTTGATTCTGAGTCCTGATCGCAGTGTGATAGAGATGGTGTGATGTTTACACCCTTCACTGGCACCGACTTGTAGTCATCAGCTGACAACCCCCTACTGTCTCTTGTGTGGGCTTGTTTTACTTCAGACACTGTGGAAGGCGATCTTAGTTCCAATTTTCTATCACTCCTCAGCTGGTTTCTTTTTGCTGTAGTACTTGTCTTAGTATCAGAGTAGTAAAATGACGGCGGGGCGAACTGGGACTGTCTTTCTTCACGTCTCTCCTCAAAATACTTCTCTTCTGTACTCGCACTTTGATATGGGAAAAGTCCTGGAAGAAATTGTAATATGACATATGAGTTCAGAAATAGTTTTAAATGAACTAGTCTATCATGGTATTTAATCAATGATTTTACCTTTAACAGATCATTATATATTTATTACTTCTCATGCCAGGCATTACAGTAGTAGGACTGATCCGAGGTTTTAACAGGTAACAATGAATTACATTGGGTATGAATAAACGATGTAAAACATTAATGTCAATGCAATTGATTTATTGATGTGTAATTGTTGATGTCCCTTGTACATTTACTCTCTTTCCCCTTGTACACTTACTCTCCTTCCCCTTGTACATTTACTCTCTTTCCCCTTGTACACTTACTCTCTTTCCCCTGTACACTTACTCTCTTTCCCCTTGTACACTTACTCTCCTTCCCCTTGTACACTTACTCTCTTTCCCCTTGTACACTTACTCTCTTTCCCCCTGTACACTTACTCTCTTTCCCCCTGTACACTTACTCTCTTTTCCCTTGTACACTTACTCTCTTTCCCCTTGTACACTTACTCTCTTTTCCCTTGTACAATTACTCTCTTTCCCCCTGTACACTTACTCTCTTTCCCCTTGCACACTTACTCTCTTTCCCTCTGAACACTTACTCTCTTTCCCCTTGTACACTTACTCTCCTTCCCCTTGTACACTTACTCTCTTTTCCCTTGCACACTTACTCTCTTTCCCTCTGAACACTTACTCTCTTTCCCCTTGTACACTTCCTCTCTTTTCCCTTGTACACTTACTCTCTTTCCCCTTGTACACTCACTCTCTTTCCCCTTGTACACTTTCTCTCTTTCCCCCTGTACACTTACTCTCTTTCCCCTTGTACACTTACTCTCTTTCCCCTTGTACACTTACTCTCTTTCCCTTTGTCCCATTCACGCTCAGGCTTGTCCTTGTTGATGTTTACATCCCTAGTCAGAAGTTGAGGTTCCACCACAGCTGGCTTCTCCAACACTGTCTCGCTGACTGTCGCATTCAACACGCCATCTGTAAAACAAGTCAGGGATGTGTATACAAAATAGGGTAGATAAAACTCAATAATTCAAGTGGTTTTCAAGGGGGGAGGAATGACATCAGGTCAAAGGTCTCGCAAAGGTGATGGCAAAGATTCATTCAACCTAAAGATTTCGGTGTGTAAAACGGACAGACAAAATTATGGTTGGACAGATGGACAGACAACCTGATTACTATATAGGGCACCACATCTTTGTAATTAGGAGGCCCTATTTAAGAGTGGTTGAACAATGACACCAAAATTGCTTATACATTTAATTTGGTAATGAGAGAGGTAGAGAATAGTGGTTCACTGTGGTAGTATGATATATAGCAATCAATAATGAGAGTGGTTCCTATTCACAGGGTATTGATAAGTACATCTAAACACAGGGTATTGATAAGTACATCTA